GTCATTTTCAGGACTTTCGTCCCGGATTCAGCTTTTGGCACATATGCCATGTTGACCGCCATGGTCATTTTACCCTAAAACAATTGAGATTACCTGTGCTAAATGAAACGCATACAAACTCATATACAGGTCCTAGACTAAAATGGTAATTAACTTACTGTATTTGTTTGTAAAAATATTTCATCAAGAAAAATATTGCGTTTTCAAAATGTCATTATGCGATGTGATGTCACACCGGTGATATTTGCATATGAAACAAAGTTGAATATCTTGCAAAGGAAGCAAGTTACCAAAATTCTATAAAAGAAATTATTAAGTCATTTTAAGTGATCTTTACAATGCAATCATAAACATTTGGGGTGAAATTTCGTGTCATAGGCACTTTAAATTTTTTTGATCCTGACAATATTGCATACCCAAGTGAATATAAATCCTAACTGTGCCAATATATTGTAAAACACCGCTTCTCCTGTTTTACTATCTCAGGTATGTTAATGCCTGGGCCTGCCCACGCTTGGGTGATATCTTGCGCGCGTGTTGCACGCGCGATCTGTCAGTAATGCGTCTGTTAGAATATGAGCCCCTTGTGTGAGTATTTTAGTGAATTCGGGCGTTTGCTTCAAATAAAAATATAGTATATATGAGCGACAGGATTATTTTGGAATATACAATGCAAAGAAATCGGTATACTATTCAGTTTTGGTGTAATAATTGGCTCTTTGTATAGCAATAAGTATTGTATCATATTTGCGACAGCTGACCTTTGAACTGCTGATAAATAAAAAGCTTCTTATAGTGCGCTATCTTGCCGATTCTTGCGATTATTCAGTATTAATTGTTGACTGTTTCTTATTTTCAATGAAAAATTGCCTGTGAATTACAAATTAATTAGAGCACATATAGTTCACTCGGTCTTTTCCACCATGACATACTTCCCTTCAAGCATTAACTATGCTTCAAGATATCGGCTTGAATGCGCAATGAATGTTGTTATTGGAAATATAATATCCCTTACAATAAGCGGCAGACTGTTTCACTATAGCCTGCGTAGCGGCTCTCAGAGAAAGTAGAGCCTGCACGAAACCCCGTGCCAAACCATTTCCGCTCACTTAGCCTGCGGGCTACGCCCACTTTAAACAGATGTCAAAATTGGCCAATCACACAGATTGTTTACGCTTGCAAATTTACTTGTCAAAATGAAATATAAATATAGATTGCTGTGTGTTCATAGAATAAGAAATGAATAGAAGGGCTACTTGAGTCGGAACCTTTGAAGTTTTTGAAGCCGCGCATGTCGCCTCGCGCATACCGGAAATTGCCCGCTGTAATTACTCGCAGCCAGTAAAGGGCTACGGGTAGAGGAGAACTGATCACGTGATCGTCTAGTTGTGTTGTTTGTCGCGTCAGATATAACCCAATCCCTATCTCTAAGTCTAATCCTTAATCTAATCCTTACCCTAACCCTTACACTATTCACTCAGGCTGCTAATCACTATAACTAACTGATGACGTAATCTGTGATGCAAATTCTTCTACCCGAGGAAGTACGCCAGTAAGGCTAGTCAATTTGTTAGAGATTTGTATTGCAGAATGGCCATTTGGCTGAATATTAAATCGACTATTTTTCGTAAACGAACGATTCAAATTACAAACCACAGCCGCTGGTTGTAATTTGAAGGTTAGTGAATACATTTCTGTTGGTTATGAGCTGTTAAAGAATTGCTAAATTTAAACGTATTAATACATATGACAGTTTGGTTTATTTATTGGAAAAATTCGATGTCTTCGAAGTAATATTGTGGTAATAGGTATGAATGTTAATTCATAATCGTGATATTTTAATTGCTGCGGAGCGAGCGAGCCTGAAGCGAGCGGAGCGAAGCAGCAGCCTAATTTGTGCAGTAGGTAGTAAAAAAGAAGATTTTTAGCGTCGCATGGAATTGTGGTCGTGCGCATTTGTGTGCGCAGTTTTCATAAATCCGTCTCACCTCACTACATGTACATGCGCAATCAGCTCAAATTTATCTCAAATTTATGATATTTAATTTTGTATTGATTTTCAACCACAGATCGGTTACAACTAAACAGCAAGTAAAAGGTACGATATTCTGTTTTTCAATAAGCGCAAGATTGGCAATTGTTTGTTGTTTTGCCTGATGTTTTGGTGTAATTTGTTTCACTATATACATCCTGCAATATTAGCGCATTTGGTGGCTGGATATTTGGTTTAGCATTTCGTGCGACGTGTGAAAGACAGTATTATTTTGCATGTGGTATATTTGAAATATATCGTTTATTCTTTTGCTTGCTTCTATTTGTAAACTATTTTTAATCAGTTTAAGGTTTTAAGATAGAAAAATATTTTACTTTGGCCCGTTTAAAATTGTTTTCGGCGTATTTGAGGCATTTTGAGCCTCGTGTTCAGTTTGCGTCTTTGCTCGCTGATGCCTCGTGTATATTGTAAAGTTGGCTATGGCTTGATGTTTTTTATTGATTTTAAATTTGTTTAACGATAATTTATACGCATACAATACTTAAGCAGCGCGTAATTGAACACATTCCACTTGGTCTTGAAAATATATATTCTTGCTTTATAGTTTATATGCTTTAGTGAATATTACTTTCATATTAACATTAACACGCAAGTAATAAGTATTCAATGACGCACATGTTTAATATATCTGTCACCTGCATGTGATTGCCCTTTAACCTCTGGTGTTGGCAACAACTGCATTGCTTTTCTCTCAGTTATGTACTCATGGCATGAATCGATTCCGTATCCTTAAGCTTCGGCCACAATGCTCACCAGTCGCTGGCACGCTGCGAGTAATAACTGTGCTTTATATAATTTGAACTATTTAGTTCTATCTTCTCTTAATGGCCGCAGCAATCCCTACCTTGCAGGTACCCTAGTTACATAAATAAATAACATCATTTTTGACTCACGGATCATCTGTGAGTCTTTGTGGTTACTTGCGTGTGGGGCAGTTAAACAATGGGAAATGACCAGCCTGCTTTGGGCGCACTGTTTGCCTGCGAATCGGGCCTTTCGGAACCGGAAATCGGGCTGGAGCACGCGTTCCGCGTTCAGTATGACGGTGCCCGTTTGCAAAAACAACTGCAAAATGCTCTAATTCTTTCTGTCACTTTCATTTGATCTCATCCGTGAGTCGGCCTCAACGGCCTTTGATCTAGAATCTGATATTGTTTGTATTTGTAGTTCAAGATGTCAGACACAGACAGACAACTTCCCACACGAAATAAATTTGATTAATTGCTCGCGACTTTGAAATTGATACTTTTTTAAAATAAAATTTGATGCAATCCAAAACCTGTTCTGATAAGATTTGACATAAACCTCGAAAATCGAAATAAACAACACAGTATACGCGATCGACTGTCAGCATTTCATTCAGATTCAGACTGTAGCTCACACAACAATATCAAATTTCTCCCTAAATATTCGTTTCTTTCTATGCTAGCCACAATAATAATTTAGGCTTACACTGCCTCTGCAGGCAGTTGTAGTAGTAAAAACTACTTAGTAGTTTGATATTCCAATCCTTTGTTTCCGAAAAATAGTCGATTTTGTGATCAAAATGTACATTTCGTAATACAAATCCCTATTGCACTGACTGGCTTTACTGGCTTGCGAGATCCCGCGCGTGCGCACTGAAACTGGTTACGCGTTGTACACGCGAGTTGCCCTTCTATTCATTTCTTATTCTATGGTATGTTCGCAAATTTCAAAACGAAATAATATACGGATGTCGGCTAAAGAAAATTGAAGTCTGTGGGAATAGCGCTAGGCCTAGGGCAATCTTCATCGTTGTCACAAGTAGTTTGCAATCCGTATCTACGATATTTCGTAGCTTTCTCGCACACGTACAAATATAATTTATAGTTTCGACAGCGGTCAACCGTGATGTATTAAATGTTAAAGTTTCGAGCGATGCAGAGAAGAGAATATTAAAGGTGTCTAAAGCCATCACTTCAGAGAGAGCAAGTCCTGTTCACTGAGACATAAGCATTTACAGCAATTCTCTCCCGGCACAAAATTATTAGCTACAAAATCATGAAGAAAAAATCTATTTGTCGTCGATGAATTGATGAAAACGAACACGCTTGTGAAAGAGGCGCTGCTAACAGACAGCAATCCAACGAAGACACCACAGTCAATATCTCTAGAGCTTCGTGAACCAAGTTCGTAAATACCTTTATTGTTCAACCGTAAATTGTAGCCTTTAAGCTCTCTTGAATGCAAAACTCAAAGAAACGCCTCTCAATAATACATCCGCCGTGTTTGTATGAATTTTAGCATAAATTAGCATATTTTTTCATTTTGAACCAATCAGATTTCTCGTCCTCTGAGTGAACGAGTAAATACGGTAAAGCGTGGGGTTTCGTGCAGGCTGTCCTTTCTCTGATAGCCGCTACGCAGGCTAGTTTCATTATGGCGCGTAAAATTCATCACGCGAAAAACGCGTTCGACTTGCAGCAGGGTAATTTGACGAAATTTTGCTATTTTTATTAGCTAAAAGCATTAACAAGGGAACAAAGTTTCCTGCGTTAATTTGGAAACCGTACATTTATTTGTAGATAACATTTAATGACGCGATTAACATTCGTTTGATGCCGATCATCGTAATATAGCCGCATAAAATAATGAAACGAAGCCTAAATGTAAACTTTCCGGATTCATTCAATAAACAGTGATATTATGTGTGAATGATTATCGCAATTCTGCGTCCTCTCAGTCACGAATGCAGAGTCTCTGAATAAAACGTATGATTTTTTGTGTTGTTTTTCGAAATATACATCACGTGAAAAAAACCAACAAAAAAACCCAACTTTTAGAATCTCCTTTGATAAATCATATAAAACTTGAATGGTAATAATCAAGGCCATACTTATTTTTTTATGATTTTTTGTCTATTTTCGCTAAAGACACAAACTGAGACCCAGGCATTAATGTATACCTGAGATTATGACGCCATAGGGAAAGTTTTGCCCCTAACCCGCGCAAGGAGGATTTAAATTGTGACGTTATTATCGAAAGGGTGTTATTCGTTCAAAATATTAGTTACTGACGTCTACCTTTAAATTGCCATTTTTGTAGCAATTATAACCACCGATCTTAAAAGATGTTCTTGGAATTTTCTTCGTTGATGATAGCATATATATTATGGTACTTGCTGAAAACGTATTTCAGTCGTCGGAAAATGCCACCCGGGCCTTTTCCATTGCCTATTATTGGTAATATTCACCAAACTGGATCCAATCCTCCGTTCTCGATGGAGAAACTGCGTGAAGAATATGGCGACATCTATACAGTAACATTTCCTATTGGAACATTTGTGATTGTAAACAACGGACAACTTGCTCGTGAGTTGATGTCAAAAGATGATTTTGCCTGCAGACCAGGGGCCACGACATTTCCTTCATTAGAAGTGTTTGAAGGAAAGAATATCGTTTACTCTGATTTGGGACCAAACTACATATTCAGAAGAAAAATTGTCACCTCAGCTTTACATGTTTTTGGCGAGGGAGTGCAACTGGCAGAAGAACGTGTCAACTTCGAAATTCAAGAACTTTTGGACCGTTTACATTCGACTAATGGAGAAGCATTTTGTATCCGAGAGCAACTATCGATGACCATGATTAATGTGATTATAGAATGGCTGTTTACCAAGCGATACGAGTTCGGTCATCCAAAGTTAGCAATGCTTGCTGATTTAGACGACAAAATGATGACCTTATTCCGTCAAGGTAGTTTTTATCAAATCTTCCCGTTTCTCAAATATTTACCCAATACTGACGTCGCAGTTTGCCTGGAAGACGTAATTAAGATACGAGACGAGTTCTTAGCAAAGGAGTTAAAAGAGCACTACAAAACACGTCAAGACGACGTCATTCGAGACATAACGGACGCCTTATTAGCTGCGTTTGAGAAGGAAAAATTAAAAAGTGCAAATAAGGATATTGGTTCCTACGAAGATATTAAATATTTACTTGTTGATATAGCTATAGGTGCAACGGGTACTATAACATCGACTTTAACATGGATGATTATATTTTTGGTCTTAAATCAAGATGTTCAGAAGAAGCTTCACCAACAACTAGATGATGTAATAGGTAAAAGTAGATTACCATGCTGGAAAGATGCTGAAGACCTTCCATATTTGTTCGCCACCATCTGTGAAACAATGCGCTATTCCGTCTTCATTCCCTGTCTTCCTCGTAGAGCAAACAAAGATACAGTCATTCAAGGCTACCATATCCCAAAGGACACTGGGGTTCTAATCAACCTGTGGCAGATTCAAACCAATTCAAAAGATTGGGAAGACCCCGAGTTATTCAAACCGGAACGGTTTCTTGATGGTGGTGGTAAGTTTCTCGGTTGGAATACGGTTAGTAATTTTATTCCGTTCGGGGCAGGACGTCGGGTGTGTCTTGGGCAGGCATTGGGAAAGATGGATACATTTGCGGCTGCTTCAAGAATGTTGCATCAATTTCGTTTTGATGTTCCTTTGGAGAATCAAAACCAACACGTGAGGGTGTTACTGGATTGATACGATTTCCAAAACACACTAAGATCTCGGCTTACCCTCGTGCATAATTATGACTGTAGCATATATATTGATCATCAATTAAGGTAAATAGAAATATTCACATGCGCATGCATGCATGTAAACAAACATACAGAGGTTGCAAAAACTTGCAAATAAGGTCTTTTTTTCATAGTCTTAGAGAAGAATAACAGAATTACAGAATATTAAGCCCAAATCAAATCAAAATCGGGGTTTGCATCAGAATTTGATCCGCAACTCACTCAGAAAACGAGTAAAGTAAGACTTGCGATGGGCTTGCGTTCTCGTTTGATCCAGA